TATTTGTGCATGTTATTGATGCTTTGAAACACAGCTCACCTATTTTTACCAAGGTACCAAGCTCACCTCCCACTATTCCTAAAGCCGTTCCAGCAGCTCCACATTTCTTTCAATGAGTATAGAGACAGCAAGACTTAGAGGAAACTGCTCATCAGTATATCAAACCCACCATCACCCCATCCTACAGCACCCACTGTAATAAAAAGCTGTCAGAATTTGGCATTTTAGAAGCCCCAGCAGCCGTTCAATGGGATGGAACCATTGCTGGGGTGCTGATTTTATGGAAAAGGCTTCTTTAAACATTTGCTGTGTGCAAAATGCCTCTCTTTCTGCCTTGTCTTTTGAGACTTCCTTCTGCTGACAAAGGTGCTGGGATGATGGATGTGAATAGGATGTTCTTTGTACAGAGGGTGGTGAGGCCATGGCACTGCTGCACAGAGCTGGGGATGCCCATGACCACGGATGGGCCCTGGGCTCTCCCTCCCATGGCAGGGAGAGCAGAACCAGATGATATTTAGGGTCCCTTCAAACCCAACCATTCTACAATTCTGTGAATATCTTACCCAAGTTTGCTGTCTCCATGCTGTAGGGCAGAAGGGTGAGACCCAACCAGAGATGGAGCTGCCCATGAGCCACAGCCACAGTGCTCCCACCACCACAAACCCTACATCCTGTTCTGCTATTTTTGTCAAGCGTTTTGTTGGTTGGCAAAAATTCAGCCATCAGCAATAATTCTGCCAGCACCACCTGCCTAGAGGAGCAGGAGAAAAGTTAGCAGGAAAGAAAGGAAGCGAGGGCACAAACTGCAATGCAGCATCCAACAGAGCCAGCAGCAGGGAACTCTCAATACAAAATCAAACAACCAGAACCTCGCTGTCCCACCGTCAGTTCAAAATACGAGGGGAAAAAAAAAAACAAAAACACCTCAGTTATGAGATGCAATGATCTTAAGGTTTATGCTGCTTCGTATTATGCACAGAAAAGCAGTGCAGCAAAGAGAGGCTTTGCAGACCTCCATGCACAGATGCTGCTTTCCAGCACACTCAGCCTGGCCAAGCACTTTGCTCATGGCTCCAAATGCTCAAGGATAACACCCGTATTTGCCACTAAAACTACAGTTTGAAAGGGGTTTCATTTCTTCATTTTGTTACCCCTTGCTGCACAACTTCTGGTTCAGAAGCATTGTTAGCAGAGTGCTTCAAGGGCACTCATCCCCAACACTGCTCCCCAGTGGCCAACTTCCCATCCTCGCTCTGTTTCCAGATGGCAAATCTCAAAGTAATGCTCCTGCATTCTCAGATTAAATGCTCCATCAGAACACGGGATGCCACTTCTCTCCTGAAGGGCTGTTCCCACCCAGTTCATCATCCACCATCAGCTTCTCTTTTTTTTGGCCATTGAGGCTTTTAAATTATTCAAAGAGGAGGCCTACATTTCATACAGCTCCTGTCTGTGATTTTTCACAATCTGATGGAATAATTGCAACCCTCTCTCCATCCCTTCCCAACTTACCCCATCAATTAATGCAGTTCCTCAAGCGACTTTAATAATTCAGCCTTAGTGACAGAGTCTAATGCATCAAGTAGGAGCAAGAGGCAAAATCCAATCCTAAACTTAAGGAAAATGAGCCAAGCTTTGAGCTGACTGCATCCTGTCCAAAGAACCTTCCACCAGGTTAAAAGGCCAGCTCCTCTGCTGACCCACTGCTGCTTTATTATATATATTTTCTAAAGACCTTTCAGGTCACTGTAATCATTCCTCAATCCATACCCCAGCAATCCCATGGGTTATCATTTTTCTTTTTTTTTTGCCTGTTTTCTGTGCAATTCAAGCTGCTGCCCGCCTGCTCCAATACAACATACACACGCAAGGCAGGACTGCCAAGGCTCTGTTTGCTGCAGCATGTGGCCAAAATTGCAGCCAAATATCCAACCGGCCAGCAGGTCAGGGAAAAAAAGGCACCTTGTATGATTAAATGTCTTCCTATTAGATAAACAAACAAACAAGTCGTTAAAAATAAGTGAGTTAAGTAATTCCACAAGTTAGATTCTAGTCCTGAGAGAAGGACAAACTGCACAGCTTGAGCTAACTAGAAGGGATTATTTCAGCAAAACCTTTTGCAAAATAAATTGCACGGAAGTTGAGAATCCTTCAGAAATGAAGTTTTAAAATAAAAAAAAAAAACAAGCCCAAAAAACACCTCTTTGGCTCCTTCAAGGAAGTGCAAAATAAAAAAAAAAAAATTAAAAAAAAAAAAAAAGAGATGGCATTGTGTCCTTAACAGCAGTTTGGGAACCAGAACAAAGCCAGAGAGAGTTTCAAAGCACAGCAGCTCTCCCCACTCTGCTGTTTGTTCTGCTCATAAGCAGACAAGCTGTTTCCTTTCATCTGGAAAAACTCACACAATAAGAAAAATACCTCAATAGAATCTGACTCTGTAATAACAAAGCCCAAGGGGCAGCCAGAAAGAAATCTTTTGGTAAGTAAAAAATATTTGGTGTTCGGATCCTCAGAGAAAGCTGACTGCTTCTGGGTGTAGGGCAGCCGTACATCCCACTGCTGCTGGAGGAGGTCAAGGGATTCATTGAGGCATTTCTCCTTCTTGTCTCTCTTCCCCAGTCCCAGATGAAGGCTGCAACCCTTGTAGGTCAGCACAAAAGCAAGCAGAGGAAGCAGGAGCAAGGAGATAATAGGGAGAAGGAAGCACATGAAAGGCAGCACATTGGGATGAAAGGACTCTCTGTAACACCCTTGAGGAAGGGGAAGAGGAAGAATTACAAGCACAAATGGAGGGCTCAGGCTAAATTCTGAATCTGGACCTGTGGTAGCGGTGCTGCAGTTCAGAAGATCCAGCAAAAATCTCTCCCCGAAACACTGTTTTGATAAATATGCCATCTCCTTGTGGAATTCAAATCTCCAACTGTTCAACTGGCATGGACATCTCTGCAGTAACAACACATGCCACAGATTGTGAGTTAACTTGAATTACATTTCAGATCTGGGGAGGGGAGGATGTCAGTGGGAGGTTTATGAACAGTATGCTCCATCTCTGATGTTGTTATAACCAGATGGCTTCAGCTGTATCATTTACAATTTAAAAAAAAAAACAACAAAAAAAAACAAACAACAAAAAAAGCAAAGTTGACAAATAAATCATTAATTCACCTGCAACTGGAGGTGAGTTGCATCCTCCACATATCTTGTATCTCAGACCTTCCATGACAGTGTATTCTTGAAATGCACCTGGCTCTGCAGGAAGGACTGGGACAGACAAGCCTCTGAACAGATTATTTTCCTGCAGGTATCTCTCCATCCTCCAGAGCAGGCTTCCAAATCTGTATTGCCTGCCTGTAAATACCTCTCTCAGAAAGGCTGAGGACACACAATGTCAACGCCCATTTACTTTCTTCCAGGCACGTCTGCTTCTCAGGGAAAGGCTACGCCAGGGACACTCCTCAAACAGCTGGTCATTCTGCCACGACGAGGAGAAAAGGTCTCTTCCAGCAGGTTTGAATATTTCAGTAAACAATGCAGTTACTGCGGTGTAATTAGACATCACTGAAGCACAGAGATAACTTCTGCAGTTACCTGGCAATGAACTTTTCATGTCTGCATGCAATTATAAGCTAGAAATGCCGGTCTAAGTTCTGACAGGTTAGTGGGGAGCATCTCCTAATGACTAAGTGCTTTGCTTACCTAAAAGGAAATGCACGTTGAATCCAATATAAAAGGAATTAGAAGAGTTGAAGGAATAGATGCAATATGGGAATTTGTGAACCAAGAAGAAGGAAGGCTTTACTATACAGATGGTTGTGTATGTTTATGATGAAAGTCTCAGTGGGGGAACTCAAAAAAGGGCAGGGACCCTCTCATGAGTCACCATCTGATAAAAATAGATGGCAGTTAGATTAAAACGTGAACGTATGAACGGAGCTCTCCTTCACACAAGGGACAGGAGGCTATAAGAGAAGTATGACAACAGAATGAAAAGTCAGAGACAACTGATATCTAATCTATTTTCTAGACAACACAGAGTTACTTCTGTAATCCATTACGTGCCCTACCTGACCATCTTAAGGTCAGACCAATTTGCCACTGCCGTGACACCACGTATTTCAGTCTAACCTTCCTGGATATCTGGGACTAATGACGACATAAATGGATGGTGTCTTTCCTACCAAGACATCCTGCACTGCTCCTTAATGTTATAAAACAGCTTATTGTACTGTTCCCCCTTCCCACATTTAAGTTCAGGTAAAAGGTTTGGATTACGAGTCAGCTTCACAGCTGCTATTAAAACCAATGTTGCCTAGTACTGTGTTAACACCCACCATGAGAAATCAAACAGTTTTGTATTGCAAATTTGTGTGCAAACTTCCTTACTAAGTCCCATCTGAGTTCCAGGAACAGCACGGCACTAACAGGACATGGCAGCAGAATGGAGGTGCACCTTTTGGGAACTGGTTTTAAGCTGAGAAGTGTTCAAACTGAAGCAAAAAAAAAAAAAAAACCACAACAGATACGACGCAGTACAAAATAGTAATTATTTATATTTTCCAAAAAAAAAAAGTTAACAGCTATTTTGAAACTTCTTCCTTGTAAGAAGAGTGACTAATAGAAAGGAATAGGACTGGCTCCTATACAGTCGGCAAGTCAGGTACAAACAGTTGTTAAGAATCATTTAGCAACTCAGGACAGGGACTTCTGACGCAGCGATCATGAACAATAAAATTTCTTCTTTTTCTTAAAAAAGAGGGAGGAGGGAAATAAAGCAGGGAAAAATGCCAAAAAACATTTTCCACAATATCTAAAAACAGTAACCGTTGTTCTTATCAGACAGCACGCTCCAAATCAAGGATATTCTAGTCCTTTCAAAACCAATACAGATTTGCCAAAGGCTGCCTTCAGTCTATTCACATCCTCCAGAACACAGTCTCTCAGTCCCCTTTCACTTCAACCTGTCATTTTATAAAAGGTGTTTTTCTTTTTTTTTTTCTTTCTTTTTTTTTTTTTTTTTTGCAATTAACATACAAGTGCTACTAACAGAGAAACTGATCTTCTTGTTGCTGGATGGCAATAAGGAGTTACACAAATGTCCAGTTTTTAGCTCAGCTGGAAGGACTTAAATTCTCTTTTTTGATATAAATACTACTGGAGCTCCCATCAGGTACTTCCTTTCCAGAACCTCACTGGAAATTCTTTTTAACCTCGCAACGCTCTCTCCAAAACTAAAACGTCCTCTTGCTCCAGGCATCTGATGGTTTGTTCTGTGCTGCCAGACGCAGAGATGTTGTTTTCCCCAGTACCACTGCTGGGTTTATTCTGACATGGATCGGCACCTAAACCGAACCCTGTACTTAATTGACTCAGCCAAGTTGAAGGGAACACACAGACGATGCAGCGACAGGGATTCATTAGGTTGAACAGCCCCAGAGCCCCAGGCCCACCCTCCCCCCTCTCCCCAAGTTACTTGGTGCTGTTTTAAAAAGTCTGGGTGTCACGAAGCAGTCTCTTCCCCCCAACAACAGAGTATAAGCTCCACAGATTTCGCTGTCTACCTGGTGGTCAAGGTTTGAGCAGCAACAGCTGATGCTGCTTCCAGAAAAACACGTGGTGTTGCGAGAGACGGGACTTTAGGATTGCTTCAGTCGCTTACGTGGAGGTCCCAGAAAGGGACACTGTGCAGAGGCCAGAGAGCGATACGCCTCAGCCACCAAGTGAGGATGTGATACTACCATCGATTTCCAGCCCGATGTCTCCATGACATCAGAAGCATGACTAGAAATAAGAAAATAAAGATGAAGTTACTGACCGGAGACAAAAAGGATAACAATCAGGTGTTTTCCACGTGCTTGAGATAACCCAACTTTTTTAGTGTACTGTTTTAAGATTGTATGCTGGACAGTCCTTCAACTGTCCAGCATCCAAGAGGATGGCAGTAGGAACATGAAGCTCATCTACTCTGACCCCTCAGCATACAACATTTTTAATCAATACAGAGAAATCGTGTTAACTAACAAAGAATTAAAACGTTTCTGGACATCAAAGCGGCTGTCAGTGACGATCTACTAACAGGCCTGTAGCAGTAGTAGTTGCAATAGTCTTTAAATATAGGGACTAGCTGATCCACTACTACCACCTAAGAGTTCTCAGGACCTTAGGAAGAAATCCAAAATATCTCACAGAGGTAGCTCTACTGTACTCTGAACTGTTCCAGTAGGACAGGACTTATCAGCCCTTAGGGCAATGGGACCTCTGAAATGCCAGATAAAAGAAGGATCACAACGGGACAGCTGTAAAAAACAAAAACTAAAACTGAAAACCAGGAAAATCTCCTCTGCACATGATTGTTCCTGAGTGGTTGCATGCTAAAACAAGAGTAAACTTACTAATTAATGAAGTCCACTGCTTGAGTTTTCAGTTGATCAGCACTATGTAGGTCAGCCAGAATGAGGATCTCAGCTGCATTTTCCACAGACAGGTTACTGCACAGTGCATCCTCACACATCACCTTCAGACGTTCCAGAGCATACTGCAAAACACAAGCCAAAGTGCAATTACAACAACAACAAAAATCTATTCTGCTTGAAGTTCTACTTGTGCTCCTTTACTCTTCAGTAACAAACTACTCTACAATGCTAAACAGACTTCTGACTTCTTCACTTTATTATATGGATCTGAACTGTACTCAAAGAAGTAGTGATCAGCAAAAAAGAAGCAATATGCACCCACCCTGAGGAAAGCAATGGGGAAGAAGCATACCCACCATAACTCTCATCCCAGGCTTCTTGTGTTACAGGTTTGCTGGTGCTGTGTTCATGCTTTGAAATGAGTAAGTATTAAAGGTGATCTGAAATGCTGCCTCAGTGATTTCAAAGTACAAAACACTAAAACCAAATCTCATCCTCACTTTATTACTGCATGACAGTTATTCTCCAGATTCAGTGGGGACCTAATACTGAATGCTCCATAGGTGTTCCAGTGATGTTTAGGCAGCTTTCACTCAGTTCCTTTGCCATTAATGGTCTGCAATTTATGACCAACCTTGCTCAAGTACATGCTACTAATTAAATACTAAAATGCTACATAAATGCCCCTGATTTCTTGTGGCTATCCATCCTGAAATAAAACATTACAGCCTGTCTGTAAAGTCATAGCAAAAGCCTAACTCTAACTTCACATCCTCAACTGAAGCATTTACACCATTCAATGGTGCATTTACCTCAAATCTTCTTTTTCCTCCAGATCCACAGCTTTGGGTTGGATCAATTATTTGAGAAATTCAAAGGATATGCTTTAGAACAAGAGAACCTTCTAACAAATTCCACACTATTTTCTGCAGCACTTTAGTCAGTATTGAAAGAAGCAGACACACCCAAGATTTTCAAAAAGGTCTACAGTCAGAAAAGTATAAGCCACTTGTTGTCAAGAAACAAAGGCCAAACTCCAAACCTCAGCCTTTTAAAATATTACAGGTTGTGGGCACTAAGAGACTGAGATACTTCTGAAAATCTTGGTATGTGTGATCTGATTATGGAGTTTGTTGTTCTTTGGATGAAGCACAGTACAGAACAGTCTTGATCCCGTGACAACATTTCTTATTTGAGAGAGAAATGCATTTGGGAGTACCCTTCTAATTGTTTGTAAGGCTTTTCTGGACAACTTCAAGATGGCTTGGTATACAAATGCATGTTCTTCACTGTGTGTTGCCACAGTCCAAAAAGATACCAGATTTGTAAGGACTGGTCTGCCAACCTGAACAGAGAGTTGGTAACCAGCTCCTCTGCATGGCGACTGGAGGGCCTGCCATATGATAAGCACTATTACTATTATAAATTAATTTTATATTCTTATTGAGATCTTCATTCTGTTACGATTAAATTTAAAGGAATAATTTTAAATTATAAAAACATCTTTCACTTAAGACTCAGCAATAATAATTACGTCAGTTGAGGCATGGCACCCATAACCAGGACAGTTTTCTCCCATCAGAACATCTGAGAAGGCAAATCAAATTTACTTCGTCTGTATCAATAACTAAAACAATTTCAAAGAAGGGGCAAACCATTATGTTACTGTCTGTCAGTAGCTTAAAATGCAGTAAACAAAGCTTAAACTATTCCCTTTGTAAATTGAATATCCTCTTCTATGCATGTACAGTTTTTATTTTGATTTTCACTACAAATATCTCAACTTCTAATTACGTACTTGGGCAAAAGTAGCCATTCTGGTCTCTCAGGTATTGAGATTTCCCCCTCCCCATCTTTCTTAATTACACTAAACTAAAAAAAAAAAGAGGAAAAAAAAGCCCTACCTAATAGCATTCCTACTCCAGAGGCTGAAATAGTATCTCCTGGGTTCAGGAGACGTGTTTTGTTTTGGTTTCAGTCTAATTACTTATTTTCCCCAAGAGGTAGGAGGAACTCAGAAGAAGCTGTTTCAGTCTCTTGAGTAAATATTAGATGCTTTATGTGTTTTCTTGAAAGACTTTTTTTATTTCTGCTTTTAAAAGACGCACAATGAGTTTAAAAGAAAGAAAAACTACATTAAAAGCCAAGAAATTCAAAGTTAAAGCCTACTCTGGCCTTAATGTACTGCTTCTTGCTTACACTTGTCTCAGTTAAAGATGGCATGTGATCTCTCAATCAATACTCTTTAAATATTGAATAAAATATGTGGCAATTACGATAATCAAGCCAAGAATCTGCCTGCATTATTTCCCATTTTAATTCTAGTTGCAGTGGCCTAATAACAACACACGGAGCATTTCACCTTTAAATCAACATTTCTGATGAAGCCCAGGTCCATAGCGACAGGGAATGTAATGGCTGTGCAGTGGTTTGCGTGGAACAAGGTTACATGCATCCACATCTTAAAATCCACCACCCTATCTGGAACCCACAAAAGAATCCAAGGACTGAAGAAGCACGGAGACTGAACTACGCTCTCACCCCCAGAGGTGGTCCCTCCAGGTCAGAGTTGAGGCACAATGGCAGGGCAGTGTGGAGGATCTTGCACTGCTGCTACCCGTGCTGAACCTGTTCGATGGATAAATTCAGGACTTAGTCTCCAGTGCTGTCAAACTGGCATCTTTCACCAGCACTAAGTTCACTTTTAAGAGAAAAAAAAAAAAAAGGAAATAAAGTTTTGGTTATATATTATGAATTTTCACTGGTTAATATGGCTCACTGGCCAGCAAAGCACTCTCTTCCATCATTGGTGCTGCAAAGGGAAGGAGGCAGAGACTGGATAGCTGGCAAGGCACTGTGCCTGCTACAGGAACAACCTTCAGTCAGAGCATCCCTGGAACCTCCCTGGCAAAGAGCCTGCAAAACCACTACAGATTATGCATTAGGGCTTTCTCCAGTGCACCCCTTGTCTCCACAACCAGCAGGGACTGCCACTGCAAAACGAAAATAAACAACAGGACCTTCCCACTCTTGGCTATCCATCACTTTAGAGCATCTCTTGAAGCTGCTGATAACAGCCAGACCAGAAGAAGCAGCAGGCCCTGTTTGCCAAGACACAGCACCACTTTTGAGATTTGGTAACAAACGTGTTAAAAAAAAAAATTAAAAATTATTTTTAAAAATTGAATTTTTCTCCTCACTTCCAGCTCTTATAGATTATGTTGAATAAAAATGTTTTCTGAAATTTTAGAAAAAGATCTTAAAAATAAGCAATAGAAACTGATATTCCTGGTCAATATATCTGATGATATGCAGCTATACATTTAAGTACCTTAAGTGTATCTATACCACGTTCAGGTTTACTTACAAGCCACAACCAGTTGATATTACGATTCAAAGAAACTGCCCAACCACAATGATTATATGAAAACCTTACTCCAGGAATCAGAGAGCTCTAAGTAAAGCAAGGCACATGTCATTGCTTGTTCTCTGAACGGCCAGAAATCCCAACTGTACCTTGTCAGCAGCTGCCAGCAAGTCATCAGCCATTTTGTCAAGATTTGGTGCCTTCCCCGTGTAAATAAAGCACATCATTTCCTTAAAAACTTCAGGTTCCACATCATTGATTTCAACCCGATTCTGTATTGGAAAAATGAAGCTTGTTAAAATTCTGACAAGATGCTAAAGGTTCTACCCAAGATCTTTCAGTATTCGGAGATTTGCTACAAACTATTCAGAACGACTTAATTAAAAAAAAAAACAAACAACAAATAGATGGAATAAGAAAAACTGAGTAGAACTGTACATCATCTACTTTTCCCTGTCCCACCCTAAACTCTTTCCCCAGAGTAACAAAGGTAACAATTGCCTCCTTGATCCCTTCCTTCTCCCTTCAGGATAGCTGAAGCAAAGAACTGCATCTAATGTGAGAAAGAGAGTTAAGGAGGTGACAGTAATCACAAATGCCAGCTAAGAAACTTAACTGACTGACCAGAGATGTTAAGAGTTGAACAGAGTGTGCTATTCATTTAGCTGTTAAAGTTCTCTCTTCTTAAGGAACTTACCTTTTTACTCTCTTCCATCTCATGCTCAAACATGGCACTGAAAACCGGGGAACGTGCTACAGCAGGGGAGCAAACAGAACAGTTAGAGACAAGCCTTTTGCTCTTCAGGAGGAGATAAGCACAGTCTGCCAACCTCAACAACTGTCCTGCTACTTAATGCAGAAAAAAATCCCACAGCAGATAGAGCAAGCTGAGAATGGCTGGTGAAGCATACAGATTGTGACATTGTGTCATGTGGTCAGTGTAGCTGCATGCTCTGAGAATGGGTATGCAGGGATGTCATGAGGCCTTTCAAAAAAAGGCCAAAAGAGCATACAGGCATTGAGATATCCTTCTTGATTTGTTAAGAAAATACTCTAATAATCCAGTAACTTCTCCTTACAAATGCTTTAGGGATGCATTATAGTAGACTACAGATACAAAGGACACCTCCTACCGTCCTCTTTGTGTGCAAAAAGCAGGCAATTAAAAAGGAGTAGATATATCTTCCTGCAGCACTTCACAAAACAAGCTTTTACTACAGCTCTACAGAGCTGCAGAAACCTCGTTCAAAGGAGGTAATACAAAAACCACCTCAATATTACGGTATTTCACTTGCTACTGTTATTGTTTCCCATTCTGCTAAGGCCCATCCAACTCAATACTGACCTGCTAGGATGGCTTTGTGAGCCTGGAACTCCTGGCCTGCAACACACAGGCAGCAATCTGTGAAGCGGGAGTTCTCCCAGAGTCCTCCCAGCTCATCTGCCAGGCGGCACTCCGGTACCTTCACCATGTTCATAGTGTTCTGGCCAGAGATATTTACAGAGTCCTGTACCACACTCACCTGCAGGGTAATAAACAAAGAACTCAAACTCCACACTGGAAAAGCAATTTCCTTTCAGGAACTTTTAAACTGTGTGCATAAATTAATGGCATTTTCATGCAGGATCACAACAATTTTATTATGTAGTTTCCTAGGGAAGTAGAATCTTCTTTTTCTGTTCTTATAAACATCATTCTGACCTATTTTTTTTTTTTCTTCTATCAACAGTCTGAAACCCTCCCAAATCAATAATGCAGTACAGAGAGCAGTACAAATGAAAATGAAATGTACAGAGCAACCACTGCATCCATACATGCATGCAGGAGCAGTGTCTGATCAGTGCAGGACATTCTGAACATCCCAAATGCTTTTCTGCTTCTGGTTCAGTGGTAGAATTTCAAATTCTTGAGTTCAATGCTTCCAGTGCATTGAAAAAGAAGAAATAAAAACTGAATTAAAAAAGCAACTTCACGTCAAATAAGTAGGAGATTCTGGAGAAGGCTGGTAAGATTCCTGACCACCTGCTCTAAACTAGACGTGGCCAGGCAGAGACCATATGCAGCCAAACCAGCTGACGAATAACCTACGCAAAGGGAACAGCTAAGAGTCTATTCAGCAGCAAACCATTATTGTTAAACATGCAGTAAATCATACGCCTTCTGCAGCAGACTCAAATTAGAAGAGATCAGAATGACTAATACTACCCTGTTATAACAAAGAGTAAAGGAACAAGCTGATTGACAAGGAAGCATATGGGAAACCATTTGCTGGATTTGCTGTCAGGTTCAGGTTAAATTTCAGTTCTATTAATAACAATGGCCAGAGGAGAACAATGGGCAGCACAGAAAGCTTCCCAGTAAAGCAAAAGGAGAAGTAAATTATGAAGGGAGAAAGATGACAGAAACACCTTATTAGGGAAAAACTGCTGACAGCACATAGCCCAACTCTTGTGGAAACCCCCAGTGGGTTTCTGAGGGTGGACACTCTTGGGCATTCCCCTGAATCTTGTACAAACTATATGACACCCAAGAATGAACAAATACCAGCTGCTGCTTGTCAAAGATCACTACAATGATTAGCCACAGCAATTGAGAGAAAGGTAATATTCTCTGTCATTAATTTGATTGCTGTAACATCTTTTTGCCCTGTAACTTCTAGTAATGGACTCAAGGACAGAAGAATAGATTCAGATTCATTAAAAAGCATTTCTAAGATGCAGATCCTTTGGAGTCAGACCCTGATCACAGACCCACCAAAAAGACGTGCAAACTATCTCAAACCAACAAGTAAATCATCTTCATATATGAAACAAAGTCCATTACCAGCATTAAAAAAATTACCAAGTGGCTTTTCACAAAAGGAGTTTAGACTGGTAGACCTGAAGCACTGACCAGACTCAGGTGTCAAAGCAGCTAGTTATGCTTAAGCTATTTTCAACAACTTAGCAAGAGAATTCCCAGCTGCTCAGAGGAGGATTACTGCTGTAACTTTCAGAACTCTATTCTTTTTTAGATTCATCAGCTCTTGTTCACCTATAATGCTGGAATATCATTTAAACAGCAAATAGTCATGCAGATGGGATATGAGCAAATCAACCCCATCTGCAGAACAGAGGTGGAAGAATCTCCAACTGTAAGCAAATGAGGTCAGACTAAAAATGATCGACAATGATCAGCGTTCTCTGTCGTGACAGCATCTTCAGCAACACATTATCTGAGTTCAGAGCTGCCCTGTGCAGAGTGCAGAAGGCTTCTTCCTTTAAAGTTTTGTGAAGCAAAGAAGGTGTAGCAGAGTTGCTGAGCAACCTTTCGGTCTATAGAAAACCCCAATATATCTCCAAATAACAAGTGTCTCATCAAGTACTGCTAACAAAACATGCTTGTTGGAAGTACAGATGTAGCAGCATCACTCGGCACCTGCGGCCAGAAGAAAAGTGTTAGGAGAGCATATGGTACACTAGCTTACATCCTAAGAGACTTAAAAAAACAAAAACAAGCTGTTGAAAGTTCTCTCCAAACTGTTTCCAAACAGCATGGCTTTCCCCTCTAATATCACTATATAAACTTAAGACTTTTTATATACACTAACCTATAGAACAAACCAAAATAGAAAACAGAAGATATCCAGGTCAAGTGAAGCAAGCAGTGGGTTTGTTCCTCATCCAGAACAAACAAAAATGCTGAGCTGAAGAATTTGAAGGGAATAATTCAATAGAAAGCAGACTTGACATGGTACTGGCTGCCACCACTGCTGTGGATTTCCCCACTCCAGCATTAATTCTTGAGTTACCACCACAGTTCTGAGGTCTGTGGCTCATTTATCATGAAAGAAAGGCTAACTGCCAAACCTAAGGAGGTGTCACTCAAAGACACTGCTCTCTTCTTCCCCCACATTGCTACAAGTGTTAAGAAGAGCTTCCTCCTTGACAGTAATGGTTTAAACAAATGACTGAACGAATACAAATCCATCAGTAGGTTTGCTAAATTAGGAGTGTGTACGTTTATGATGGCCAGGCAAAGCTACAGAACAAGCACAACAAAACCGAACGACATAACCAAACGGCTGTCAAATGTTGGACTGAAGCAGTCTTTTCAATCCTGGAAGAAAACACAGCAAAAGAAGAGGCACTACTCCCACAAAACACAATGCAAGAGATCTGAAGACAGGACAGTTTTTCTACCTGTACTTTGGCAAGAATCACAGCTACAAGAGATTTTGCAGTTAAAAAGACAAGAGAAACAGACACCAAAAGCTCAGGAGACACTGAGTTAGAAAGTTTAGGTTTTCCCATCAAGGCATCTGAACATAAACATCTGTCTTTAGAAATAACTGCATACTCATCTGCAAATAGTGAAGTCTGAGTTTTGTAAGAAGTTGTAGAAAAAACAAACAGGAGCTGTGGTTACTGTGGAATTCATTTAGCTTAGCTTTTTGTTTCTGTAAGATATACAGACACAGGAAAATAAAGAAAACTTATCCTTTTCACTCAGAAAGCAAGTAAGAGGTATGACAATTTCCACTATACAGCTAGCACTGGTTATTAACCTAAGTGAATTTTAAATTAGGGATGGTTAATATTATTAAATCAGTAGGGAAGTAATAATCAAATGTGCTTAATTTCTACTATCTTTACAGATAAAAGACATATAAAGTAGCAAAAAACAAATGAAAGTAAAATGCAATGAAGCACTCACAGAAGAAGCCACCCCAGACAGAGGTGCACACACAAGCAGACACAAATAAAATCTAAGTGTTAAATAAACAGCCACTGCTCCTCCTGACTCCACTGACGCCTTAAAAGCAATGATGAAAAATAAGGTCACATCTACCTGAAGCTAATGGAACTGCTATTCTTTCAGCAGCAGAGGAAGGCTTACCTCACAGAATAGAGTGAGTTTGTCATCAGGAAGAAGTCCATTGGCTTCATCTAGAAGAAAGTCTCTCCTAATAAATTTTTTGAATCCCCAGTCCTTGCCTTGCACAAATCGATACGCTCGCTGGCTCTCTGAAAGAAAGACACAGTGCTTCAAACAACAGCTGAACAACTTGCTTGATCAAACAGCAAAAGACAAACAACCGACCCCTGCAGACAGAAAGTGTTTTTACACACCCATTGCTTTTGTTTCTTCTCCTTTCGCATTCAGGATGGAAAATTTGAACTTTGCTCGAACTTCACTTTTTGGACAGCTCACCAGCAACAGATAGAGGGATAGATAATCTTTACTCTCCTCATCCAAGCCTTTAGGGTTCACACGTAAACACCTGTAGAAGAACGTAGCTGAATGAGAACAGGACCAGCTTTTGGCAGGTCATCCACAGCTTTCAAAGGAAGGGCACTGTGGAATGTTCATGATAGAAATGTACAGTCCTGATTACCAACCACTGAACCACAAGGAAATAACAGACAGCTAAACGGAGTGGAACTGTGCTTCAGTCAGCCTCAGGCTACATCTTCAAGATGGATATTAATACCCTAGTAATAGTATGGGTAAATCATTAAAAAAAAACCACAGGGCTTGGGAAGAGTGGAGGTATGTATGGGGATGCAATGTCATACACCAAAAACCATCGTGCATAACAACTTCCAAAGAAAAATAGCAGAATAGAGGCTAAAGATTCAGAGAAGTGCAAAATTTTCAAGAATTGACCGTTAAAATTGCAGAGGAAGCAACTCAAAAGGAAACACCTGATTTCTAAAAGGCTGAAAGGTTTTTTTTTTTTTTTCCCCAGCTTTGTTTTTGAGAAAACTACTCCTTGGTTAAGAAAAGATAGTAAATGCAGGAAAAGGCTAACTCATAAACAGTTCTATGATCTGAAACTAGACAGAATATAACAAGCAGGGACAAAAAGAAAAGAACAGGCCAAACAACCAGCAGCTCAAACACACAGTGACAAAAAAAAAAAAATATCAGAAAGACCAAGGCATGAGAAGGAGATCTGACTTGCAAAGGTTAGAAAATGAAGTAATTTAATAACAAAAAGCAGTCTGAGGAAAGCACAGGTCTGCCACCCAAAGGAAGGGAACACAAATCATATCTCGCACACGCACAGCCCTAAATTAAATAAGGCAGTGGATAGCTTGCTGCTATCTAGACTAAGGAAATTTAAATAAAAATGCTGAAACACTTCCAGGGGGAAAACAGGAAAGGTTTTGAACGACTTTAAAAGAGTAAAAATGTTGTCTTTAAAAAAGCAGAAACTCTCGGGCAAATGGAAATAGAGAATACAGAGATGATAGAAGGAACTCTTGTAAGTCTCTGAATATATAAAAAGCTGCTGAGAAAGTAATAGTAGAAATAGCCTGAAACTGCAGGAAAGAGAATTTAAGAGTGTATGCAAAAATTAGCTTTTTAACAACATGGTGTATCAGAGGCTGAAACTGGGAGGCTGAAATAGAGCTTCACAGCCCTGGCTGTAGACTCTCATTGGCTTCCAAGAGAAGTTGGCCAAGACGAACATCAGTCATTTAAGACAGAAAATAATTTATAACAGATTATTAATCTTCCATGCTTTGCCTCTGCATTAAGGCAGGATGCAGTCTCTCTTCTAGCTGCAGCATCTACAACTTCTGATGTTTTCCATTACATGAGGAACATTTCTAAAGGACAGATCCTCACATTTGTTCTGTGTCCAAACACTGTGCTGTATGTTGTGCATCCAAGGAAGCCTGAATTTGCTTGAAGCATCAGTTGTTTCTTTCTTTTTTTTTTAAACATACTTCTTTGTTACAGACCCCCAAACTCTTCCACACAGTTGTACAAACACAGTGAACCTCACTTCTGTATTCCTTACCATTTGAGTTTATCATTGGCTCCAGATGAAAAGGTTGAGCTTTTGATCACCTCACCCATCTCCTCTCGGCAGAAGCTGAAGTTGTTTATGGTCCACATGTAGGAAAACTTCACCACTTTAATCTTAAAACCGAGAATAAGAGGTGGTTTAGGACCATTCACTTTCACACTGGTCATAAAAGACAAAGGTCTTAGAAGACAAAAACTGAAATCCTGGAAGTTGCACAGAATCACTCGTGTAAAAGTAACCTCTAGACAGGAGGGAAGAGTCTGGAAATAGCTAGCAGCAGTAGCTGGACCACCAGAACTCCTCCTGACACGTCCACACTCCAACATGGGTGCCACAGAACAATGACTTGTCATTGCCATGGTGAATGGCAACGCCCACCGTTACCAAATCCCACATTCTCTGAAAACCCAGGACCTTCCATTTGTTTTGAACCAACCTCTTGCTGCAGGTTCTAATTGTGCAGCCTCGAGAACAGCCCAACACAGCGCAGTCTCACCTGAGTGTAGCACCAGCTTTCTGCCACGGGTCCACTCGACATTTCTGCCGGAGGAGGAGGACTTGGCACCCTTGACATCGCCAGTTTGAAGATTAAACAGAATGTCACAACTCAGGGGAAGAAAGTTATGCTAGATCTTCACACTGGGAGAAAAAGAAAGAAAAGAGAACAAAAAAATGAAACCAAAACTAATAACAAAGAAAAAGCTTCCCGACCTCTGCTAAAACTCACTGCATGCAAGTTAAAGCAATCATGCTTCTCATGTTTTTTTCTCTCTCCTACACCTTCAAAATAGGTTGTATTATACACCAAAACATTAGGAAGTGCTCCCATATGTTTCCTGAGGTGGCAATATACCACCACTACTTATTTTTTCAATATGCCAGCTCTTCCTAGGAATAAACCCAGCCTGTCATTTCCTCCAAGGAGTCCAAAACCAGGAGACCACTGACTTGATTTGGGATTTACTGCTTACCCTGAGGCCACCACTTGAACTCCATACTCACTCCTCACTTTCATGTCAAGAGTCTCACACCAGACCTCTCTTAAGAAAGGCTCCCCTCAGTCTGCACTTCAGTTTACAGCCATTTACTTGGGTTTTGAGTTATGCTGACCTGCAGAAAGTGTGTGACAATACTGGCACACAGATATAATCCAATTTATAATATAAAAATGAGTGATTTGTTTTGGGGTTTTTCCCCCCTTCTCCTAAGGTTTAATTTCCTTTAGAAAACCACAAATAAGTTCATGTAACCGCTGAAAGAGATACTGACTTTCAGTTGCTTAGAAATACGTATTTAACCCTGCAGAGCTGCCTATTTAATCAGTGAAAATGCATCTCCCAGAACAAAACTTGAGGCCTAACAACTCCCAGAGACCTGAACCCCTGGCACGGATGTCAAACCACACTGCTTCACAGACTTCTTGCACTTGCAGTTTGTGCTGCGGATATGCAACGAGGAAAAGGCTTAAACAAAACAACATTCTAAAAAGGCAATGTCAGTATTCACCTTAGGTACTTGCTGCAGGTTTTATTACATTAAACTTAAAATTACCTCCAAAGAAATTCAATTAAACCACTGTGCCATTCAAACTAAGCCAAAATTAGCAGAGTCTAGATGTGAATACTTGGCTGAACTACCTTTCCACTCGCAACACTCGGTCTTGTCTCCAAAGGCATTTCTTTTTCACCATCTCCAGCCATGGGATTTGGGGATGGATAAAATTGAACTGCAGCACAAGCAACAGATAACCCACCATGTGCTTCTCATGGCTGGGGAGAGACACCCTTCTGTTGGTTTTAGCTGACAGGCAGGAGAGACCCAAGATCCTTCCTTCCCCTCCGAGTTCACAGAAGCACTGAACTCCACACTCAGGCTGTTTTACTGCTCTGTTCCTATCAATCTACATTATTGTACTCGTCTGTTACACTGCACAGGTTTCCCAGTCACACAGGCACAAACAACAGGGACAAAACACAACCACCAGAGGAGAACAGCAACCAGGGAAAGGATGAAGTTTCCTAAGCTCACTGAATGCAACCTGTCTGCACACAGAGCAAGGAGATGCTAAGCCTAAACAAAAGGTTTGACGAGAAGAAAGATAACTCAGTAACAGAATATGATATTTTTTCCTTTATTTCCTACAAATATAGTTGCTGCCTAACATACCTAGCCAAAACAGCTCTTGGAATTAAAGCCCAGGGCTCCAAACCTGTCTGGTTCTCTCCTTGCAGGGATTCAGGCACAGCTGATCACTGCAGGATACTTTCCAACAGCTGAGAGTCATCAGCCACGACTGCATGGCAACACCAGGGTTCTGTTCTGCAGTGATGCCACAAAGCTGCTCACCTGCACTGGTGTCAGAGTGACGATGAGCCTGGTTTACTTCCACATCAGAGACCTATAACATCAGGCAGGTTTCTGCAGGAAAACTTTGGTGCACTGAATCAATCAAATAACAAAATTAACACTGAAGGTGATTACAGAGACCTGCTGGAGGCTTTTAACTTTCTCAAACACACCAAATTTAGTGGCAACACCTCACTCCTGGCACAAAAATCAGGGATTAATGAAGAGACATTTGCTCCTATTCTGTGATGGTATATTGATCACGGCTGCTGGAGCACCCTGAGATGCTGAGGACTTTCCTGAAAGCAGACACAACCCTGCACCCCCACAATGTCCAAGGAGCAAACTCCCTAAGACCACAGCCATCAGTCATATAACAGGAAGTCAAGAGATTTTGAAACTTCCTGAAGAAAAATCAAAGTTTCACAGCTATTTTCTGCATTTCCACTGGGTTTTAAGATGTCTCAAAGCATTACTTCCACCTTACTTCACGGACGAAGTTTTAGAAAGCTGTGCTCTAAAGGCTGGACAAACGCACAAGCTTAAGACACACAAGACTATTTAATTTCCTATGAGTAACTGTCACTTCTATCTCTGATGTCCTTTCCTCCCAGATGGCTTGGACAGGCAGGTGGTAATAAAAGTTGTGACAGTGTGCTAATAGAATTGCTGCATGCCAGCACGTCATTCGTTACCCTTTTAGAAAGGCCCAAAGGAGACATAGGGTCCAGATTTTAGAGATTTCCTATTATTTGGAAAATACTTCCAGCACAGTGTGTCAAAGCTATCTGCAGACCTTTGGGGAGGCAATTTAATACAGATGAGAAAAAAAAAAGTTAAACCAGAACATATCCCTAGCTCAAACCATAATAAAATAAATACAATATCCTATTCTTTTGTTTGTTCTTTTTTTTTGTAAAAATGGCAAGGAAAAATTTGCCACTTGCCTTGCTTACCAAGCACACACACAGATTCACTGAACACAGCCTTAGGAGTGTGCCTCAGCAACGTCTGTGTGCCACTCCACCCTCAAACACTGACTAGCTCTTCTGGTATGGACCAATATTAAACACATTTTAAAAAGGAACAACAGCTGACTTAATGCACTCCATGCGTGCAGTTTCTGAAATCAGCAGGCTCCCCCCGGTGTTTATTTGCTCATAACACTTAATGCCTTACCAGTTCACACGCCTTTAGCAACAGCCCGGCAGCTCTGAAGCAGGAGCTGATCAGAAAGTGGTGCAGGCAGAGGTTTTAAGAAGACATTTTGTAAATAGGATGGATATCAGAATTCCTTATGGCCAGGAAAGGCAGGACAGACTTGAAGGGATAAGTATCAAGTCAGGAAACAAAAAAACAAAAGTATTATCTTATGGATCCTTAATAGCCCAGGTACAGCCTGCAAGTTTCTTACTTTCTTGGATATCATCACAAACAGCACTTGTTTCTGGCAAAGAAACACTGCATTACTGTTATTTTTAAGAGAAGAAAGAGTAAATTTTCACCTCATTTGCAACTACTTCCAGATGAAGAAGTTTCCTCTAGGAATGAGAGCTCTTCTCAGGCTCTTCTCAAGCACAGCAAATGTCCCGTTGCCACTCTGTCCTACTAATTACCCCCTGACTTAGCAGCCATACCCAGACATCTCAGTTCAAAACTCCATCCGCTGTAGGGATCAGCAGTCAAAACAGCAGCAGAGATTTGACCCAATAGAGCTGGGGATTATCAGCTCAACCAGTAACACTAGACCAGGTCTCAAAATGACTCAGTTTTGCCAAAGAGCACATTAATTTCTTCTCAAGATAAGTTAATTACCTTTTAAGGAACCAGTAGCTTACAATAGAAAATTTCAAGTGTATTCCTTTCCTGAGAGCATTATTCAGTGAGTGTAAAACAAATGTCCTTCAATTAACTGTTTCAGAAACGGCTGTTTGCTTAACAGACAAGCAACATTATCAATGACTATCCAAGAGCAGACCTAAACTGCCCAAAAGCAGCAGGACATGCAGAGAAAAGGAGTGAGACAAAGATAAAAGAAGCAATAAAACAAGTGGGATGAGAAATGGAAGCATAGGAAAAGACCATTATCTTCCTGCATTCTTCACAGCCTTGGGAAGGACAATGGGAAGACTCAATCTGCTGCCATAAAGAAGGAAAAAAGGCAAGTTAACAGAAGGAGCAAGGTGGTATGCAATGCCATCTAAGCAGTGGATGAGGCAGTTTTCAGATTTTAATGTGTATGCTAAAGAGGACACACTTTTCCTGCTTGGAATATCAGAGAGGGAAGCAATGATGGGCTCAGCAAAGCACTCCCAGCCTGCACTAATGGCTGCCAAGCAGCACTGATTACAGCCATCACAGATTACAGCCATCACATCACACCCTACTGCAGCAGGAAACCTTGGCCGGCTCCAAAGGCAAGCTGAAGTCGGGCCCAGGGAAACACAGAGTGGTAGAGGACACTGCTCCTTAAGTGCCATCAACTCACAGCGACACATGGAGCTTTGTGTCAAACACAGTTAGAAAATAACACAGGAAAAATCTCCATCGTAGCAGAGAAATGGGAAGGAACGGACTGGCATTCAATGGAATATGCTTAATAGGCTGAGAAGCCCATAAGGTCTCATTTGGGATGCAGAACACATAGATAACCTGGTCTGCTGGAAACACAGTACAGGAGAACTCTCCCAGAGCTGAATGTCTGTGCTTTTCTCTTCAAGCCACCATTTATCAGTCCCAATTCTGCTTGCAAGCTGCCCCGGTCGTCAGCAGCATTCAGGAACTTGGATGGGCATCTAAACTAAAAATACAGCCTTCCATTTCACTGCTATTACACCAAAGTTATTATTACATCCAAATTCATGAGGTCACAGCAGGGCCCTCTGGACACCGCATGAGAAGATGACTTTGATGCAGACACACACACACACCCCTCCACCCAGTTTATTCCAGACAGTTCATTGCAAGTCAGTTATCTAAAAAAACAAACAAACAAACAAAAAAACCCGATTTTCTACATAATTAATACAATAATTATAACACAGCAGAACTCAGTTACTAAAACTGCACTTCAAAAGATTCCAAGAAAAAATCCCTTATTTTTGGAATGTTCAATTTTTTTTCCCCTTAAATTAATTCTTCTGTTATAAAGCAAAAAAAAAAAAAAGAAAAAAGAAAAAAGTTGGTTCATCTACAGAAGTCATCATTTGTATGAAACTATTAGAGCATGGGAAAGGAAAGAGGAAATGAAACAGGGAGCACTGCCAGCAAAAGGTCAGCACTGTAAGGAGAATCACAAGTTTTACATATATATAAAAAAATAAAGAAGTACCAACATTATTTTGAGACCATCTACCAGCTGTTGCCCTCCTCTCCAAACATCAGATAAATACCAAACAACCAAAACCAAGGAAGACAGTTGAAGTCAGGGGTAAAAAGCAGCCAAGAGCCCTCCAGATAACCATCTCCTTTTGTAACAAATCCTCCACTTAACGTTTCTGCTCTGCAGTCATTAAATTAAGCTGCAGCTTTGCCATTCTTCTAAGATAGCTCTGTATAGTGTTTGAACAGATGCAGAAAAGCGTATCCCCTTTAATCACACCTCACCCCAACTATAAATTACCCAAAGCACGTTAGAATCACATCCACATGCAGAAGTAATCACATTCTTAAAAGCAAGCAGCCTCCCCTTACTGTGCTTTTCACCTCCGTTCTTCCTCTCATCACAAGACTCGTTAATCCAGCACCAACTTCAGGCTTCCACAACCTCTGAATGGAGCACACGCTTCTGCCTTCTTCATTTTAAAAAGGAAGGTTTTGTTACTGCCTATGAACACTTTCAGTTTAGATGATGCATTGGTGCACTGTACCAAGTAGCAATGAAACATTCCAATGGGACTGCAGGTCTGATCTCCTGCAAGCCACCAAGACCAAAATCCCCACCAAAACCTTTTATTCAGATCAACTTTCCAGCAATATAAACATCTGGTAGTCTTCATATAATGTTTTCCAGTTGCCATCTTGCATTAATATTTCTAAGAGCTCATCAAGATCAACCTGAGCTGGAATACTGTTTCTGCCACTATTATTCTGGAAATTGAGCTTTCAAGTAATAAATGTAGAGATTACAACACGTGGCAAAAACGTGGCATCCAGTTACTGGGTGCTGTCACCTGCTTGTAATTGCAGCATGACTTCAAAATGCTTGTAAGAATTACTTTCGTTGCTAAACATAAAGATTGAGTGAGTGCCAAAGAGCACTCACATGAAACCACCCTTAGAAAACAGTGTGAAATCCCACCTTTTTGGAGATGCCTGAAAATAAAGCCAGCAGCTTGCTTCATTTCAGTAGAAAGCTCATTCCAGAGCTTATTCCTAACAGCTCATAAATAGCACTGCAAACACTCCTGTTTGCCTGTCCTGTTGGGTGATGCTTCTCCCACACGTATCTGTATGGGCAGGAAGAGTCCTTTGCTTTCTTTTTTCACTTTGCTTTTCTGTGAACGGATCAAACATCAACATGAAAAGGCAAAAATAGAGGAAGGAAATGAGGACCAAATCCCAACCTTCCAGCTCCAAAACAGCTTCATTTTCCTCATGAATCAGCACTGTGTTTTCTACAGAACTCATCACACCCACTTCAATAAGGCATGCTGGTGCTGCTTAGCACCACTTTAATAACCTAACTCACATTAACATCAAAACGCTCACAGCTGACCATAAATCACACTGAAAATAACCCAATCACAGCATTCGCCTACACCCCTATTTGAATATCCTCACCATTCAAACCCAGATTATCTAATTAGTAAGACAAAGAACAAAGAAAAATGTTGGTAGCTCTGAGATTCTATATTTAGTATATTTCTAATAGAGGGAAGAAGGGCCATGGGCAGTGCTGCATCTCTTTGTATCAGTGGCACTGGGGAAGCAGGGCAGTGAAGTGCATTCCTGGCACTGTGGTTGGCATTGATGTTCATTTGTGTTTTCAGTGCAAACTCCCAAAGGAAATATCTGGGAACGAACTTTTTGTTTTGGTCATGCATTCTAAGCTGATGTTGGCATAAGCTATTTATGGAATCTTTTAAAAACAAAGGGGAAATATAAAAGTGCACAAAAATAAATTCCCAGAAGATACATAAATTTATTTTCCTTCTTGCAACAACAAGCCACCTCCATAAGCTGCTTAAAACCCAGGCTCACAGAAACCACAGTTACTGCTGCTTCTCATTCCTGCCTGGTTCTCCTTCCACCATTGGAAATAGCACTACAAGGAGCTTTCCCACTATTTCCCCCCATCAAGAGCAAAACTCAGTAAGCTACTGGGTAACATTATCCAAAAGAGAAATATCAGATACCTGCTACAAGAGACAAATCAAATAACAGAAGTTAAGACTTGCAGCTATCAGGCAGCATCGGGACTTCTCTCTCTTTCAGCTCTGGTAAGGTGGGCTCCCAGATCAGACCAACACCTTGTAGAACATTTCAGGAAGCATCTGAATAAATATTAATGACATTTAAACTTGGGCTGTTTCCCTGTAATCCCACTTGCTGAAAAGCAGAGGGCTGTAAGGTAAAATTCACCACAACAGCAATTTTCAACACTTCTCGACTCCAATGCCCATACACACACTCTATTCTTCTCCATAAGCAGCAGCAGCAACAGAACCAGAAGCCAACAGGAAACCTTAAGAAAACAGCCTGCATCTCCAAAGCAGCAATGAAATATCGTTCTCCGAATTTCATTCACCAGCCACAAGCACTTCTAGGAAATTCATCAAAGTGACGTGTGTGGTTTTTAATCACAACTTGTTGAGGTCAGACACTTCTACAAAGATGCAAGTGAGGAAACCAAGGCCCCAATGTGGCTGCTCTCATTTTGAAGTGTCGGTCGGGACAGGCAGCCCCAGCAGCTGCTCTCTGTGCACACAGCGAACACTGTGTGATGCTTCTACCATAAGATAATAGATTCTTCAGAGGGTTTAAAATATATATATGGCAACACTCCGTAACAGACAAAACAGTTCATCTGTAGGCATGATTACAGCCAAGTTAACTGAAAACTTTTACATCAATGCAGGCAGCGTCTGTTCCAGCCTCTTTATGCAGCAACACTTGGGAGGCAGCCAGGCAGCTCCTCTGCATTGCTCTACAGCAGCCCCAGACTGAGGGTGTTTGTCTCCACCTGCTCTCCAGTCTCATCGCTAGAAGCATCTCTGAGCTTCCGTTCAGACAAAGGCAAATCCTCTACTTTAAATCAAAAATCAGAATGAGTTGAAGATTTCAGTCAGGCCTCGCTAGTTTTAAAGCCTAGGCTGGAAAAACAAACTTGATAACCTTGTGAAGGCCCTCAGTGAAGTAAACCACTGCTATATACAATTACCATCTCATTTATGATTTGCTGAGCAAATTTCTCCAGCAACGAGAGAAGAATGAGTGCAGAACAGTAACTAAAACCACATTAATTCATCTTGCACCTGATTGAGTGCCACAAGCAAAGTTTTACTTCTTGTTTGGCTCTGAGATCCAGAACTTCCTCTCTAGATCACCTTCATTTCCCAGATTGTTTTGCTTAAATATCAGTACTAGCCACAGCCCTAGAGATGCTCACCTGTTGCATACACTTGAGAGATACTTGTTTATTGAGATAATGACAATTAGTTCTGATGGAAAGGAGGAAAAAAAAAACTACCTGAAAATTATACATTGCTGTTTAAGTGCAAGAAATCTTTTCAGGAACTTTTAGGGACCATCCCAGCACAATGACTGTTACAAGAGTTTAATGCTCAAAGTTCTGCAGCTCCCATTGGGCTTTTCAGACTGATGCTGTATTGCTGTGTTTGCTGTCACACAGGAAAGCATTCCAGCTGTAAGTGAAGCCACGTTAGCTCCAAAGAAAGAGCAGTGATTCACAGAACTCCAACTAGCAGTCAGCAGTTTAAGTACACCAGCATCCAACTACACGCCCTACATAAATTTACACATCCAACACCACAAAATGTTTCTCAATATGTAATAAATTTAAGTGTACTGAGCTCCAAACCTTCCTGTATATTTTTTAGAAACGTTATTACTAAACTTATGAGGTTCTGTAGCATTAAAAATGGTTAACAACTAGCATATTTTCAAGTGAATATTCTAACATTCTGTATACGAGACAACTAAAAGCATATACAAGGACATTCCTTTTTGCAGGTAAGTGATTTGTTATCAGACATTGGCTCAGTTTTCTAGCACTGACACTAGTTGACATGATTCACTGCCCAAGCTTCACATCAGCCCGATTTAAATGCACGACACACAATGCCACATTGCCAGCAAAAGCCATTTTCCACGTGCACAGCCACCCAAAACCACCACAACACAGGCTCTGAAAGGCCAAACAAGTGATCTCCATTTATCAATTTGAATATGACTTTAAGAGCTGTAAGGGCCAACTACGTCTCATGGAACACAGCAGTGCCACTCCTGCCTGCAGCCAAAGAGCTGACTCAGAATAAAATAAACTCCCAAGTTTTTTTGGGGTGTTTGCTACACAGTCAGTGGTTCTGCATCTTTTGTTGTCCTAAAAATGCAGAGGGGAAAGAAAAAAGCAAACGACATCTGATGGATGCTGCAATATTCAGGTATGCATATCAGCAAAGAGGAGAATTCCAGAATCATTCAACTCCTTCCTTTCAAAAGAGAGTTCAGTAAAAGGACACCTGAGAACAGAAACTGAGGAAGAAGTACTAAATGTACCTACAGATATAGTTTATAAAAACAACAGCTTTTCCTTCTCAAGGGAAGCATATTAAAGTATGAGTACTTTAATCCCATGCTGGTTTCCTGCACTGTTATGTGTTTCCAGATCTTGGGACAAATGCTTTATTTAAGTCTCTGAGTATTCTGCACAAGACAGAACAGAGGAGCAACTCATCACCTGAGAATCAGGAAATGATACCTTCAAAATTCTCTCCATAGAGGCTTAAAGAAATAAAAACCAACATATTTATATTGTATTTCCTCTCTGTGCCGAGCAGAAAAAATATCAGCAGCAAGAAATAGGAGTAATACAGCACGATCTTATATAATACTCTAATTGTGCAGAAAATTATGCCAGAACTAGGAGGAGAGAGGGGATTTAACAAAATTACAGCAGATACTTTCAAATGTGAGTGTAGGAATGCAACTGATAACACAGCAACAGCTCCTGATAACACAACAACAAGACATCTTTGCCAGCTGCGTGCCGAACAGAAGTAAGGAGTAGGAATTAAAGCAGGTAGTTCCAAGTTTACAGGCCAGCAGCAGAACAGCACAACACCGAACAGAAGGGTGTGCCAAGAACAAAGCTGGGAAGTCCCTCTTATTGTTGAAGTGTCTGGAAAATCACACAGGGCAACGAACTGGCTTCACAGTGGTGCTAATACCAACTCCATCCAGAAATTAACCCCCATCACCCACACCCCACCGGTCAAACTGGCTCAGGGAAAACTAACAGAAGAAATTCTGGTGAATGGAATTGTTCTTAACATTCCTCAGGTCTAATACACCCCACAACAGTGCCAGCACCGATACCATCTCTGCATTAAAGAGCACTTGCAAAAGAAGTAATTTTTTAAGAGGCTCCACTGTGATTTGGGAGCAGTGGTGGCACCGCTCATTGAGACCATGAAGCAAAACACAGCTGTCCTGCTTTCATGCCGTTCATTATCTGCAGTTATTTGCAAATCCTGGAGGTTTTTGGGGAGGCAACATGTAGACTTCCAACAGCAATAAGTATGCTGAGCTTTAAATCAGGATGTCATACTTGGCAGCAGTTTTTATGATCTCAAGGCAGGTACAGTTGTTTTGTATGACTGTCCTCTACTGATACAGTGACAGGATGACAACTCCTGATGTACTCCTGCTTGTCCTGACATCAACACCCATCCATAACAAAGTACCATAAATAAAAAGTGGCTTTTATTCAAGTTACAGTGGAACAAGTGATGTAAGGAAATCTAACCAGAGGTTAGAAAACGTCACCGAAAAAGCAGCAATCCCATTATATGTTTCACATCATTTTACTCATACAGTTTCACTATGTTTTACAAATTTGGCTTTTTTTTTTTTTTTAATAACCAAAGAAAGATTTTTGTTTTATAAATCACAGAATGGGCTGGGTTGAAAAGGACCACAATGATCACCTGGTTCCAATCCCCTGCTGTGTGCAGGTCACCAACCAGCAGCCCAGGCTGCCCAGAGCCACATCCAGCCTGGCCTTGAATGCCTGCAGGGATGGGGCATCCACAACCTCCTTGGGCAACCTGTTCCAGTGCCTCACCACCCTCTGTGTGAAAAACTTCCTCCTAATATCCAACCTAAACCCCCCCGTCTTAGTTTAAACCCATTCCCCCTTCTCCTATCACTAAAAAAAAAAAACACAAACAAGAGTAAAATCTCAATGCTTTTACACAGTTTCACACCAAACAACTGCAATAAAGTAAAATAAAAGACCACAAGATTTTTTTTCCAAATGTGTATTCCTATCTAATAAGCGTGAGT